AACGTTCTACCCGAATAATACAGCATGAGCACCCTTGTCACTGAAAATACAGACTTTCTTTCACTCTATCATGCCTACTCTGGAATTTTAGATGCTGCTTTCAAATGAGAAGTCCTTCCTTCTTGCAAAAGTTTTGGTATTGTTGGCTGGGCGTGGTGGCTCACGCCTGTAACCCCAGAACTTGGGGAGGCCAAGGAGGGTGGATCAGAAGGTCAGGAGTTTGAAACCAGCCTGGCCAACATGGTGAAACACTGTCTTTACTAAAAATACAAAAATTAACTGAGTGTGGTGGCGGGCGCCTGTAATCCCAGCTACTTGGGAGGCTGAGGCAGGAGAATCGCTTGAACCCAGGAGGTGAAGGTTGTAGTGAGCTGAGATCGCACCACTGCACTCCAGCCAGGCCGACAGAGTGAGACTCTGTCTGAAAAAAAAAAAAGTTTTGGTATTGTTTCCCATCCTTCAACATGTGTTATTAGCTCTTTGGTTTCTTTAGTGTAAGTAGGATTTTCCTGTGATATGAATGGCTTTGGAAAGTGATCTGAACATGAAGTATTATTTTAATCTTTTTTAAAGATTTCTTTAATTTTTATTTTTTTAAAGACGGGGTCTTGTTCTGTTGCCCAGGCTGGAGTACCGTGACATGACATGATCATAGCTATTGCAATCTCAGCAATCTTGAACTCCTGGGCTCAAGCAATCCTCCCATCTCAGCCTCCTGAGTGGCTAGTACTACAAGTACATGCCCCCATACCAGGCTAATTAAAAAAAATTTTTTTTTAAGTTGAGATCTTGCTATATTGCTCAGGCTGATCTCAAACTCTTGGCCTCCAGTAATCTTCCCACCTCAGACTCCTAGTAGCTATTATTAATCTTGTAAAAACACGTTTTTCTTCCTATATGCAGTTATAGTGCTCTATTGCCAGGCTCTCAACCCCCACAGATACATTTTTTTCTGCTTTTGACCTACTCAATTCATTCCTGAATCACACTGAAGAAAAATCTCAACAAACTATTTTAAGGAATATCACTTATTGAATTTTCCAAAGCCCAGGAGTCAAGAAAACAGGTTTTATTAACATCGACTCAGCTAAAAGAACTAAAGATTTGTAAAACTAATGGGTTATGTTCGTCATGTGATGCATGCACATAATTTCATTTAAAGTCATATGCATCTCATGATGGAGATGATACATTTTGAGAGGACAAAGAGCATAAAGAAAGAATGAAAGAGAAGGAGCCATTTTCTCTCCTGATGCGTTCACAAGTTACATTTTCCAAAGAACGCTGTTGATACCCGTAGCACTAGGCTGATCATGATGGCAGAAAGCACATTCTAGAGATCCAGTTGAGTACAGAAATATGCTCATTCTGTTGATAAGTATTTGGATTCAAGGAACATCTGCCCAAAATGCCCACAGGAGCTGTGAGAGGTGTGTTCCTCTCAGAAATTCTGTCTCTAGTCAATATTCTTTTCATTTTCCTGATTCCACAAGACAAGGACCTCCATCATATGCTAATCTCTTTGATATTTTTATATACTTTATAACTTGTTATTATTCTAATAAGGAGATTGGCTTAGCACTGATTATCTGCGGGGATAATTTATGCAATGGTATATGGATGGTTTAGCTGTAACTACTGCTAGGAGGGACATAGTGAGTGGAGATCCTATGCATGCAGTGTCATATTGCCTCTGTTTCTGCTTAATAGGGAATCCATTGCAATTCAGATTCCAAACCAAGAATGTCCTTTCTCATCAAAAGGAGTGGGGAGGTTCTTCTCCTTTCCAGCTGAGTGGCAGCGAACACAGGCGCAGCACACAGTGCACTGTGCAAACACTTTTAGAAGAGCTGGCAAAAAGGGCACTCTGAGAGGGACAGCTGGGAAGCTTAGGGCCCCACAAATACACAGAAAGAAAAGTTCCTTTGGGGGAGGTGAACAACAGACTGTGGTGTGTGCCTCGTTAGAAATACAACAGCTAAGAACAGGACTTACAGTCAACACTGATGACACTGCTTAAGCAGAATATGGTAGTTTTTTTTTTTTTTTGTAAGCAGTAATAGAGAACCTAATAAAAACATACTAAGTCAACAAAGACTAGCTCAGGATACAGATGATTTTCATATAAGCCATACCTAGACGGTCACTTACTTTGTGAAATGGTGTCAGAATTTCTCTGGATAATTCTTATAAGAGTCAGAAACCATTCATGTTTGAAGACTCTCAACTTTTCCTCTCCCCTTACCGCATTGCCAGGCTTTGATGGAGGATCCCATTTGCCTGCTGGGCTCTGATCAGGGTGGTGGGTAGAAGCTGCTGCAGGACTGGACAGCTAGTAAGATTTTACACTGATAAGGGAGTAAACCGCTGGTGGGAGGACAGAACAGATGCAGGAAGGAAGAGGGAGCTTTCCTCTCATCCACCAACAGAAACTAAAAACAACTGAACAGAATCTGTTTGGGAGCAGGGGCTAAGTGTGGGTCAAGTTTGGGGGAAGTTTAGATTCAGGAAACGCAGGGCAACTACTGCGCTGTAAGTGAAAGAGATGAGGAAACACATTTTTATCAGTTCTGCTGGGCATGGTGAGTGGATTCCTCTTTCATTCCTTGAGTGACTCCTGTAAAGAGTTAAACTACTTGGAAATTAATTTTAAACATCGCATTGTTATTTCTTTTATGGCAACTTCATGGGGCCAAAAGGTCGTTGAGATTTATAGAGTCAATATGTAAAAATTTAAGCTTTCATTGAAGGTACAGTAAACTGTGTTCATTGTTCATATATGACTAATTCTTTCTGTTATTGTCATAAAAGCCTTGATTGAGAGAAAATTCCAGATATTTTTATTGAGAGATGGCCAGACTGGTTGGAGGTAGGTAAACATATATATATATTTCTTTTCTGATGTTGACATTGAGGAGATGTCCAAGGTTCTATCGTCCATAAACCTGCTGTGGCTGGGGCATCTCCGGATATGTTCCAGGTAAAGGCAACAGAGGCAGTGGAAGAGGAAAGAGGGGACTGAGACCGGGGCTCAGGAGGTCCCAGACGTCTGGGTGTGCTGGGACCCTAAGGAGGCCTATGACTGGTGGCTGAAACCGTGCAGGCCACACCTCCACATGGGAAGGACTTCTTTGGTTCTTAGACATTTCCCCATCCCATAGCTATACTCTCACGCAGAGGGACAATGGTTAGAGTGAGCCATGTTCCCACACAAAGGATAAAAACAACACAGAGTTTGGGAGTTGTGGGCCAAGTCATGGGAGGCAAGAACATATTTTTGTTATAATATGACACAAGGTTCCGTGAAAACAGACCCTACCACGCTTGGCTGAACAACCCTGGTCAAGGTTCTTATTCTGCCTATTTGCCCTTGGACCCCTCAACTGCAAAGGCGGAGAAGAACACCCCTGCCTCACGAGGAGCTTAAACTACAGAATCTCCGTATGACACTCAGTAAATGCTTGGCATCTAGTTACCTCTTACTTCTCAAACGTTACTTCTTACTATCCCTTTTAGTAAGTATTTTAGTATTTTTACACTAATGACAAGGAATAGCCTTTAAAAAAAAACATGATTAAGCTCGAAAACTTATCCTGGAAAACACCTCTTGGCTTTCCTTGTATTCACAGATGACGTCTACGTAAATGTGAGTGTTTCCCTGAAGGTTAGTTATGGTTCCTAGTTTCTTCTACACGCATTTCATCACCCCAGTATCCTGTGTGGCTGTTGATCACTTCCCTGAGCTCTTTCTCCTCCGAGCCCGGCGGCTCTGCAGGAGACCTGTCATTGGTGCATCTCCCTCTCACTACCCTTATCTGTCCACTTGTCTCATCTGCCATACTTGATTGTAATTGACTGCAAAGATGGGACAAGCCTTATTTACCTTTAAATGAACACCTGCAACATTGGTGACTAGTTAGGTGGTAAGTATTTAAGAAATATTTTTAGAGTACATGAGTAAAGATCATCACATAAATATTCATGGTATGCAGCATCCTTTGTTCATTAGAATAACTGCTTGTTAAAATGATTAATGTCTGTCCCTTGGGGGCGTTCCTGCTCCTTACAGATTTGGGTAAATCTTGCCCCATGCATACTTGCCCTCCTCACAGTTCTCATGGCTTATCTCGTGGTCCTTTCCAGGCTTCTGGTGTTGTTGTCTGAGTCAGAGAGGGGCTTCCCAGCTGGTTCTGTCCTGCCTTTAGACCTAAAAGCAAGCTTCTACTCTTTCTTCTTTTATACACATGGAAGCCATTCATTTGCCACATTCCTTGTGCTTATTAACTGTCATAAATGTTTAGGGGATGTTGGCAGAGAAATTACCTCTCATATCTGTGACATTCTCCCATCCAAGTACTAACCAGGCCCTGCTTAGCTTCCAGAGATCAGACAAGATCCGGTGTATTCAGGGTGGGACGGCCATAGAATCATATCTGTGGCTTTCTACCATGTTAGGGGACACTTGCAAAGTTTCATCAGCATCACAGGTGTCCCTGCCAGGTATAGCCCTGGGAAGCAGACCCCAGGTCTTAACACCCAGGCATATGTAGTGAATTAGGTTTGTGTGTCACTCAAACTCATCAGGCCTGGTCTCTACCTGCAAATCTGGGGCATTAAAGCCAGGATGATTCCAGGACCTTGAGAAGTGCCAAGTGGCTTCAGCCATTATCTTTATAAATATTAATTTCTGAGAATAAGTAATCAAGTAAACGTCGTTTTACCGTGGATCAGAAAATTTCAGTGATGTGTTTAGTATTTTCCATCAGAAGTAAACTACGGAATGCCACCGCACCCTCCCCATAGCAGGAATACACGCTTCTTGCCAGCACGGCTAAAATGCAATTTGCATTACATCCTCCTGTGTGGTAGGTGAACTTGCGTTCATGTTTTAAAGCAGTTCCCAATAATTCTTATTTCAACATCTTGGGAGCAAGCCCCATCCCTTGTTCTTTCCTTACACAGATGCATTGAGATGCCTGAGGGTACGCAAACGCACTTACCCGGCAGTGGAGGCCAGAAACCCTGTAGCACCAGAGAGCTGGGGCCAGTCGAGCTCATCAGTAAGAGCTGTTGGTAGACTGATGAAGGAGTTCTAAGAAAAACAATAAATGGTGGTTTATTTTCTAAAGGCAGTAAGAAAAGTCATTGCCTGAGCATTGCTTTCTGTCTGTCTCCCGCTCTCAATCTCTCTCTTTAAGGGCTTTTGGTATTCAAGGCAGATGCCTCTGAACCTCAGACTTTATCAGAGAAGTCACGTGATCAGCACCACCCTTCACCTGGCTTCTACTCAATTCCTGTGAAACATGCGGAACATCTGGCATCATCTCAGACATTCAGGAGAGATGCTTCAGCAGGCAGAAAAACTTCCCACTCTTACGTTTGCTGAGATTTTCTCCATTTTTCAGTTTAGGCCATCAGAAAGTCAATCATCTGAAAAGCAATTAATCTGAAAAATAATGCCCAAGCCCTCAGAAAAAATACCTTCTCTGGGTTCAAAGCTATGGCTTCAGTAATTAAGGTAGTGCCCTCTCTCTGACCTTCTTGGGGGTCTCAGACATTTTTGAGAATCTAATTACGGTTCCTTTCCCCACAAAAATGCCCATTGCCATGTGATTTCAGGAGGCTCACAGACCCCCTGCAACTCCTGCACAATTTGTCAAGAACGCCTGATACAAAATATTGACAAAGACAGGATTCATTTGAACCACATTTCTGTGGCTTGTGCAAAATCAGCAAAGAAAAATGTGGTGAGCTACAACCTCTTGGTGCTCCTTTTATAAGTGACTTCTGGGACAAACCTCTCCTGTGGTCTAAGTTTTAGAAAAAGCTGATCTAAATTGGTATGTTTGGAACAGGGTGCCCGATTTAGCAAATAGAAATGAAGGGTGCCAGCCAGGTGCTGTGGCATGTGCCAGTGGCCCCAGCTACAGGGGAGGCTGAGTCAGGAGGATTGCTTGAGCCCAGGACATCGAAGCTGCAGTGAGCCATGATCGTGCTGCTGTACTCCAGCCTGGACAACAGAGCAAGACTCTGTCTCAAAAATAAATAAATAAATACGTAAATAAAAAGGATACCCAGTTAAGTTTGAATTTCAGGCAAACAACGAATAATTTTTTAGATAAGTACGTCTCATGCAATGGTTGGAACATGCTTATACTGGAAAAATTTGTTATTCGTCTGAAATTTGAATTTGGCTGGGTAGCTTGTATTTTATCTGGACATCCTTCTTTGGGTAAAACCTTTAAAAGCCAATATTCTCTTTTTGTCTTAGCTCACAGGAAGCCACTGTGAGTGGTTGCAAGAAGCTTCTGCATTTCTCAATATTGAAAACCCGTGTTCCCTTTGGGTAAACATGAAAACCTTGAGTCTTCCTTTAATGCTATTTTAAAATTTAAAGTAAGTTAAAGTAATGTCTAAAGACAAGTACATCAAAGCAATCGTAGTTTTAACACAATTTTCCAAATGGCACATTCCCCTGCTTCCTGCTTTTTCCCTCACCTGTAAAGATCCCTCTCCTAAGGAGACTCTGAGACTAGAGGCTGTGAGGGAAAGAAGAGCCATTCACTTCTTGAAAACATGTCTTTATAGTTCTTTCTTATTACAAAGTAGTACATAGGTTTGTTTTAGAAACACAAACACTATAGTCATTTACAATGAAGAAATGAAAGCCCCCATCACCTTCCCCTGAGAGATAGCTCCTGTGAGATAACCATGTATAACAGGTTGTGTCATATATAGGACAGTTTGTATATGAAATCTACCATAAATCTTTAAACTGGGAAAAACTCAATTCTCCTACTTCAGAGAGACAGAGGATGAGTAATAAAATACAAATTTATTTTCTTCATCGTGGACTGTTATGGGTTGAATTATGTTTCTCAAAAATATGTGTAGAAGTCTGAACTCCACCCCACCCCCACCTCAGAATATGACTGTTTGGAAATAGAGTGGTTGCGGATGTAACTGGTCAGAGGACATCATACTGGAATAAGAAGGGCCCCCAATCCAATATGACTGGTGCTTACAAGAAGAGGCGGAAACAAAGACATGGGGAAGGCCATGCATGGTGGAGGCAGAGATTCGAATGATGCTTCCACAATCCAGTTAATGGCAAGGATTGCCAGCTGTCACGAGACGCTGCAAGAGAGGCATGGAATACATGCTTTTGCAGACCCCCAGGGAGGAACTAACCCTGCTGACATCTGGATCTCAGACTTGCAGCCTCCAGAATTCTGGGCAATCAATTTCTGTTGTTTCCAGACACCCAGCTTGTGGTACTTTGATATGGCAGCCAAGGTAACTAATACATGGCCTGAATTGGACAATATGCTTGTTTCTATTATCCAAAGGGCTAAGACATGAATGAATCCCTTTACTATGCTTACTTTCAAAATAAGTCCTAGAACAAACAACTGTGTTCAAAGGCAGCAGTCATCCCATGCTGTATATTTTCTGTGGGTCTCTGAGCTTCCTCGGCTCCTCCTTTCTCAATTGCCTCTATGAAATCCCTGTCCTTATTCTTACTCTAAGTGTGATTTCCAGCACAGCGAGGTCTGGAAGAGGGAGAGGGGTGGTCAGCAAGTATGGCAACCTGGGATGCGTCTGTATTAATGATAATTTAACCTCTTCAAAGAACCAAAAACAACCCCACGGAAACAAGGCTCCTGGTAAACCTCAGAGGATCATGCAGTCTCAGTGATCGGTACTTTGTCACCTCTGATCATTCAGTATCCACCGCTTCCTGCTCAAAACTCCACCGTTACTGTGACTCAGCTATTCCCTTTTCGAGTTTCTATTTCTCCTGCTGCTATAAAGCAAAACTTTTCTCTGTCTTTTATCTTATTTTTCCCTACGTCTTTCTGCTTACAACGTGTGTTTACTGTAGGATTTGAGAATATTCAATTCTGCCCGACAAGGCGTGAAAAACAAATAGAATGGATGGAACTCGCAAGATATGTCTAGCAGAGTTAGTGAGTGAGCAAGCGGCTTGGAGATGCACGCAGAAGTTATGAGCCGTATTGAGTCAGTAACCTGCAAAACACGTTGAAACTTAAAAGAATGATTCGGTTCTTTTTCACCCCACTCCCTCACCTGTTTCTCTGTCATCTGTGCAATGGCAACTCCAGACTTGGGAAACTGGGTGTGGAACTAGGTTTTTGATTTTGTCTGGGGCTGCTCTCCCTTTCACAGGAAGGAGTTAGACAAAAACTATGCAGGCACAGGGACACTCTGTGTAACCTGGGACACTAATTGAAAGGGAAATCATTCTGAAGCGTGCCAGCAAAGTAGAGAAAGGGCTTTGCTCTAAAAATGGGGTGATCTGTCTTCTACGCCTGGGTCTACAAATACAAGGAAGAAACACAAATCAGGAAAACTCTATATTGGATCTGATATCACTGGAAATAGATTCCACACCCCCTGCAGCCTTGATTCTTGGTCAGGGGTGGCTGACGAAGTTCTTGTCTTCAGTGGTGGAAGAGGGGATGTTGAGAGGAGGGGTAGGGTAGGTGAGAAAATGGCAGGCAATCTTGTCTTGGGAAGTGGGGTCTCCATGTTCCCTACATTCTCCAAGCTCAGTCTCTCTGGATCAATCTGAAGGAATGGGGCTCAGCTACCCGGGAGATTCCTGGAATCCTTGCTGGTATCTCAGACACTGCAGTCAGCGCTGGAATCATCCCCAGCAGGATTTAAACTGGAGTGGACAGTGGCTGGTGCTGAATTACGACTGGGGCCAGGGTGAGTTAGTATTGCTCAGCGAGAGCCCTGAAAGGCCCAGGCAGTCCGGTTGCCCAGATTTATCCTGGTCATTCGATTAATCTCAAAATATAGCGAGCCGGTGCTTTCCTGGTTGAATGTTTTAGACTTCACTTCTGGGGTTAAGCCAGGGTTTTACTGTTATTAGTGTGCAGAATCGGGGAAGATATATTTGTTTCAGCATCTCTGATGGCTCTAGAAATATTACCTTCTTTACTTCAACAAGACTGTGGGGAAGACCAAGACACAGTCAGAAGCAAGTTGACAAGTCAGAGCCCTACTATGTGAACTGTCGTGTTCAGGACAGGCCATCTAACATCCCTTTCCAAGTGGACAGGTTTAAGAGAAGTGACATTTATTTGCCACATGATAGAAAAGATTTGAGCAGACCAGTAGAAGCCTTGGCATATTTCTTCTTCCTTAGTAAATTTGGTAGATAAAAATGAAAAGTAGTGGCTATTAATAGCAAATGTTTTATAGACCCTAGCAAAAAGAGAGTGTTTAAGTCCTATCGCATTAAACAGTAAAAGCCTTATTCACACAACATTATATCCAAGATATTTCAGGCATTTGAGGCAGGAGGAATGCAAATTAAGATTTTCCTCATCAACTCCTGCTTATTCCTCTTGAGTATTTATGTTCTCAGGAAATGCATCTTAAATGTACCTTAAACGTACATATATGAAAAAGGCTGAATATTTACCAAGAAAAATTTTCCAAATTTAAAGAGCATGAGCAAACTAGTGAGTGTTAGATCACTGCCGCATTGCTTCAAAATTTCTTCTGACCTTTATCGAGATAGATATTTGTTTTTTTGGCATAGTTGGCACATGTATACTATTTTGTGTAATATTTTCATTTAATGTTACCCTGTGTATGGGTGTGTATGTGTGTATATCCATGCATTGAGAAAGCCCACTGGTTCCCATTTTGATTGATATTTAGTAAATATAATAATTTGGACTTGGTAATATTTTAAGCCCTAACTTCAACAAGCAATTGATGTTGGAGTTTCTTTTCTTTTCTTTTTCTTTTTTTTGGAGACAGAGTCTTGCTCTGTCGCCAGGCGCCAGGCAGGAGTGCAGGGGCGCAATCCCGGCTCACTGCAACCTCTGCCTCCAGGGTTCAAGCAATTCTCCTGCCTCAGCTCCCCCGCCCCTGAGTAGCTGGGTTTACAGACGAGCAGCACCAACTCCAGCTAATTTGTGCATTTTAGTAGAGACGGGGTTTCACTTTGTTGGCCACGGTCTCCTGACTTCGTGATCCGCCCACTTTCGCCTCCCAGACTGCTGAGATTATAGGCACGAGCCACTGCGCCTGGCCCTGATTTGGAGTTTC